GATGATGATGATGATGATGATGATGATGATGATGATGATGATGATGATGATGATGATGATGATGATGATGATGATGACGATGAGGAAAATGTTCAATTTGGTATCCATTTAGATTCTTTTGGAAAAGTCTTGTCACCATTAAGTATTCAAGCATTAATATTAAAATATAATATAGTTCAACAAGCACTATATATAGTTAATTGAACAATTAAACAGTTAAAAGAAAAAATCGATAAGTTTACAAATAGAAAAGATGATGAATTCGAAAATTCTAATGATTTTAACAACAAAAAAAGAAAACTTTATCTGAAGTTGTAAATAAAATTATAATGGATAAAAAATTGAATTCAATTTTATTTATCAATATATAACAGTATCTATTAATACTTATTCTTTCTAGTCCATGTGCTTTATGTAAGAATTCTATTTTAGAATATGAGAAAATCCATTTATCAATAGTTGAATTCAGCATTAAATATTAATATAATGCAATCAATGCAAAACAATTATTGAATATACCAATCAAGTACCAGGAATTAATATTTCTCATTTGGTAACTGGTATCATATTAGCCAGTGAAATGAATTTTCAGGCTTTTTAAATAGTATTATCATTAATTGAAATTACAAATCAAAGTTGTTTTCAATTCTATTATTTGTATCAATTAGTCATATTTAATGGAATTGTTCAATTTGCTAAAGAAAATACATGTGAAACACTATAAAAGATTTAGATTATATTAAAAAAAGCAACTTTCTATCAAAAAACTTTCTTTTTGTTTTGATATATCTTGATTTCACTCTTATAATACTATATAAACAAGTAATAAATGTATTTTTCTTGGTGATTTATCCAGTAATTTTTAATTATTAGTATTTTTATATATCAATATTTTTAATTAATTATAAATTTAATAATTTAAATATAAATTATATTCACAAACCAGTAATTGCATTCTATATTATTAAAAAACTATATATAATTAGTTATGAAACAAATAAAAAAATATAAGTAAATGATAGTAATTTTGAACTTAGCTCTCAACAAATAATTTGATTTTGAAGAAATTACACTAATTTTAGAAGAACGTGATTTTTTAATTGAAGTATGTATAAATAGTGATTTAAATATCAATAAACTTTTATTAGAGTTCTTATAGTTAGTGAAATATTTACAAATTTAAAACATGCTTCAAAAAATATAAGAAAAGCTTTATTTTTTTATTATAATATTATAATAATTTTAATATTTACTAAAAATTTCTAGATTTAGTAAACAAAAAAAATATTCGATTTCATTCTTTTGAATAGCATATTTCAAAGCATGTATTTATACAGCTGGATTAAGAAAAAAATAATTTATCTAATTGTTTAGCAAATAAAGAACTTCAATATATACAAGTTGAAGGTCTAATAAAATATTTTAGGAATAATTATGAACTTTGTTGGGAGAAAATTTGCTGAATTAAAAATAATCCAGAATTAGATCTTGAAGAATCAATTTTAGAACATATACTTTAATTGAAATTTCAAATATTTTTCAAATTTCAGTTGGACAAGGATTAGTAACAAATTTTCAATCTCATATTATAAAGCATTTAATCAAAAAATTTTATGCTATTTGAATAAGCAAATTGATTTTGGAAATCTTATAAAGCATATCATGCTTTGGCAGTTATGAATAATAATAAAGGATTATTAATAAAGTTAACTATTATTCATAATAATAGTAATATAGTAACTTTTAGTAAAGAAGATATATATAATATTTCTAGATTTATAACTGAAAGGAATATACATTCTATGCAAATATTAAAGATATTCAAAAACGAAATGAAAATGAACACAAATATATATAAATCAAAAAATTAAATTACAAGGATTTGACTTTTCTCAGGTATTTCTTAATATTTTATAGTTTTAAAATTTATATATATTTATTTATATTTGTTTTTTATAGAAAATAATTTCATACAAATATAAAGCAAAAAGAATGAATTCGAAATGATGATTTTTATTCATCATTTGCAAATTTAATTTCCAATTTTGAAGTATTGATTAAATATAAAGATTATCAAGTATTTGAAAAAAGTTCAAGCAAAAAATTATATCATTTTTGTTATTTTTATTTGGCTGCTGGAGTAGTTAATCGAATAATAGATAATCAATATCAAGAAATTCTTTTAATAGAATCTTTTATTAACTGAATCAGTAAATTTGACAGCAAGAATAATTTTTGATTTTGAAGCTTTTCAAGAAGGACAATAATTTTATTTTTAAAAAAATTAATACATTTGTTATACTTAAAACTGGCAGTGGAAAAACATTATGCTATGCATTATCTGCAATTTATTTTAAAGGAATAACTATAATAATCAAATTGTTATCGATGAAGCACATTGCATTCCCAATTATCAAGAGTTTAGGTATATATATTATTTTAAATTATATATATTAATAGCTTATGACTTTTTTCATGCAGAAAATTCAAGACTCGTACTCTGGATATGTAATTTAGCCGTGTTCATTTCGGTTTTCTCAGGTCGTCTGTAAAAAAAAGGTGAAAGCCAAAGAAACAGTTACATTGATAAAAAAATATGTCATAATATAAATCACGCGTTACGTGGTGTACTACGAATCACGTGTCACATAGTACGAATCACGTGAGCTACATCGATTTTCGAGATTGTTACATTTAACAGGTTATTGCACATACATTTATTCATCATTATAAATCTATTGTCCACGTTTTTCATTATCGGTGATACAAGGGAAAGGCTATTACTTTCCTTCGGAGTTTTTAAAAGTATAACCTTTTTGTTCTTATTCTCACAATCATGAATAGATTTGACTTCCAAAAATTACTGATGACATACAATTTTGAAGTTTTCAAATTTCAGTTTCTCTTGTAATCTTTCATTAGCCAATTACATATGTAGAACTCTACGTTTGCTCAGTTCTAACTTCTTTGGAAATTTTATTCCATCATCTTAATTTTACTACTGTAAACTTAACGTTAACGTTATGTAAATTAACTTCCTTTAGTTTTCAACAGCGATATAAACTATAACAAGCACTACCACCAAATATACTTTATTAGCTTAACCATTACTTTTTATAAAAAGTTATTAACAAAATCCACTTTATAGTATACAGTTATTAACAATCGGTAATGTTACCGCAATGACATTAAATCCTTTAATTCCGTAATTTTTATTCTTAATTTCTACATGAATATCGTTAAGGTCAGTTACGTCACATCAACCCGATTTATTTTTACTCCAGCATTGGTCATTTACATCACATTCCCACAATTACGTATCTTTTTGACCAAAGTATTTAAGGAAGTGCTTGAGAAGCTTTGAACCTCATCAACAAATATCCATCTCACCGATAGCTCTCTCATCAATAACAACTCCCTCATCAATAACAATTCACCTCTTCAATAACAATTCACCTCTTCAATAACATCAATAACACCAAATGGCCAATCGCCCTCTTCCCGCTGGTCTTGTTTTAAATGACCAAGAAACAGAGGCATATAATGGGACGTCCCCACGACAACAAAGAAGATTTAACGCCTTTGCGGATAATCCATCGAGACTTGGTTATATCCAAGGGATTGAGATAGTATGTTGAAGATAAGTGACATATATTTATCATTAAAAATTTTATTATCGCGACTTTTACGCTAGGACTTGGAACAAAATATACTCTACACTATAATCTACTTTAGTATCATTATTCTATCCACAGTTTTTAGTGTAACCATTTATAAGGATGACGAAGACAAATCGAAAATTTTTTTAATTGTTCTCAATGGCTTGCTATTTTTAATTCAAATTATTATGAGGGATAACACTAAAAAGAAGGAATATTGAAATTTCTCGCATAACGTTGATAACATTCTTCATAATTATAGGAATTCTTCATAATTATAGGAATACTATGCGTTGTATTCTTGCCAATATTAGTTAAATGTTTATCAGGAACTATACCAATACCAATATTTTTAATACGTGTACATAATACGTAATTCTTTTTTTAATATTAAACTTTTTATAGTCATCATTTTTCAATAAATCAATATCGCAACAGATAAACAAAAAACCTTAACTTTAAACAAGAATATGTAACCCGCATTAGTTGTGAATGCCGCTACGTGGTCTTTTGCACAAGCCTTTTTGGGAACCTCTGCTTGAATTTCTATAAAATAACCATCGATGTCCGTTTTCGGTGTAAAAATATATAAGTCTAATAAAGAATAAAATTATATTACTAATCACAACCTACAATTGTCTTTTTTCGTGTTCGCATACATGTAATATAAAATCTATCACCAGGTAAACAAGTTACAAAAAACAAAGTCCTAATGCCACACATTATTTCCCATCGCTAACTGCAAGAAATCATAAAAAATAATCCCTCCAACCAAAAAAACCGAAAATGCACCGCCAATTTTAGCACAAATCACACTGTTCCGTGTCGAAATCGGAAAAGCTTTGAATGACTTGTGTTGCCGATGCTGCTGTTGTTCGTCATCAAACTTCTTCAAAAAAGAGTCAAGTTGATTTTTATCTACAGTATTCATTACTATCATACCATTATTATCATCATTGTTACTAATTTCGATATTGCTAGAGTTGTGACTGCTGCTCAAGTCGACGATGACAGCGATCCCATCGTCATTCTTAACAGTAATAATTGGAACGACAGAAGGTGAAAACGGTGGCGAGGGTGGCTGCTCAATTTGTAGTGATTGACGACAACTGGACGAAGTTCGACGTGTTAATATCGGTGGAATTTCAAGATGTAATTTCGGTCGATATGGTTGCTTCACTTCCACACTGTTAGAAATTGCGGTAGTAGATGATGTCATTAGCGAGTATGGAGCCGAAAGACTTCTACGATGATTAGTGGATTCTAATACTGGTGGAGCAAGTGACAAATTATTATAAGATCTAGTTTCACTTTTCTCGTTAATGTTATTTTGTTCGGTGTCTACTGCTCGAATTATTGTTGATGTCGTTGTTGTCTGAGAAGATTCGAGATACTTATCTTCATCTATGATATTTATTTTTGGAATACATGTATTAGTATCGGTATAGTTTTCGTCATCACCAATTATTGTATCAGGCGAGTCTGGCTCTTTATCATCTTGTTCATCAATATTATTATCTACATCACTCAACATCATGACTACATTGTCATCGTCGTCATTTGATGACCTTGGCCGAATAATAATCTGCATTGACAACCAACTGGTTATTGATCGCACACTATTAATTGATGGAGATCTGGATAAAGGAGTGCGTCGTGTTACCGGGGGCGAAAGTGATTTCGCTGATTTTGGAGATCGAATTATCGATGACGCACAAACACCACCATCATTTGTGCTTCTTCCTGTTGTCTTTATACTAAAAGCGTCGTCGACTTCATTCGCCACCTTTGTATTTCTACGTCGCTTTTCGTTCAAATAGTAGAAATAGAAGGGCAGTATAAAATTGCTAGTGCTTGTAAAAATTATACTGGTCCAATTTGTGAATGTGTTTAGCCAGTACCCTGTCTGAAACGGGATCACTATTGTCCACGGAAGGATAGTCGAGAGAATAATTGTCGTAACTAAAGATATCAGACGAGAAAATGAAATGAAATAATAATGCATCAATAAGACAAACACTGTTACTCTCATTATTAATACCTTTCCCACACTGCCCAGTCCTTTGTAAATTATACCGCACAACAATAGTATAGACCGGAATACTCGCAATCAACACCGCCAACGGAAAGAGATACGTGGTCACCACACTAACAATACTGCGCTCCTTTGATGCGTTTATCACCGCAATGATATTTGAGGTGGCGTCCATTTTGTAGGCCATCCCTCCTAGAATTCCTAGTAGGATATATGCAATTGTTGATATTGTTGCAGAGTACCATACAGATTTTCTTATTGAGACGGTTGAACCCTTTTTTTCGTTTCGTTATTGACAATTTGGAATTAGTAATTATTTTTGAGTGAAGTTAACTAACGCTAAGGATCTTCGTTACCATATCGTTAACCCAACTTGGAATTGTCGTAACAAAGGCATAATTAAAAAGCACGGTCCCGATAATTCGGCTTTGATCACTTCCTATTGCCGGAACGAAATTTCTATCGAGTCCATGTATGCAAAATGTGACTAGCCAACAGATTATTATCAAAACTAGTGTGACGAAAGAAACTATAAAAAAAAGTAATTTTCATTGTAAACGAAATTATTGGAAATATTTATTTTGAATTTAAAATGATATCTTACGGATCTGAAATTTAATGTTGTCGACTAAATCCATAAGACCCAAAGGAAGAACCATAGCCAATGTAATCTATAAAAAAACAACACTCAACTCAATCAATCCTTTAAACTATTGCAAATTTACAATCATATACAAAAATATCTACCAAATACCCGGCTGTAACCACCATATAATCATCGCCGAATGGGCTATTCCAATGACTCGGTTCATACACACAAAAAGGTCCACGACGCGGATGAATTCCGATCCCACAAGACCGTCCCGCCAGAGAAACAAGCAACGTGTCCATCGACTGCGCGGAAATTAATATTGAGGCGATGTTTACCGATTGAATTGAGATGAAGAGTGTGATTTGGATAAAGATGCGTTTTTTGGGGTCTGAAATTAGAATTGTTGCGAGAGAGGAGAATTCGATTTGGCGCTGTTTTAATTGATGTAGTCATTAATATGTTCATGATTACAACTAACTGTGATTATATTGGTAAAATAGTATTGCTTACTTGGAATTGTTCGTTGCCTACTACCGAACTTAGTGTCTCACATAGGAGTAATGATGCTGCACCGCTCAATAATGTTACCGTTATCAATGTTAGTATTGATCTAAGTATAATATACTTTATCCGTAAGTATTAATTTCAACGAGAATTTTGAATCAAAATTTTATTTCTTTACGACTCACGTTAGCCATCCTGCACTTTGAAACAAAATTGGAACTATATGAAAATATTTCAATAATGTGATAGAAATTTAGGTTTTTTGAATAACCAATCTTCTGGATTGCAGGAAAATTAAGTGTCTTACTTGTAACTAGACCAGGACCGGTCATCGAAGATACCAACAATGCAACACTTCCAATAAAGGAAATTCGTTTCTTTAGAAGTGTCATTTTTTATTGTTTTTGGTAATTTGATTTTTGATATTCGAGATATATACAAAAACGATAACGATAAATATATTTGATCCTTTCGTGTACCGTCGGAAATTATTGTACTGTCCGGAATTACCGCTCGTTTTAAATGATCGTAGAAATTGTTGTCCGTCACAAATAAATTCGTATGGTACTTTTTCTAAGGAAATAGATTGGATTTTTCATTACTTATATGAATGATTTGTCTATTTTCCAACATACGGAAAACACGGACAATAGCATCGAGAACAACAAAATCATTAAAGCAGCTTTTAACAACAATGTGGAGCGAGGGAAAATTAAAAGAGTGCTATTCATAATACATGTATATGCTAATTTGACATAATTTTCAATGTGTATGCACAGACTCGGCTGTCGTGTTTGATGTAGGTTGTGCATTGAGCTTACTTTGTGATTGATTGATTGAATTAAATATTCGTTTCCTTGTTTGTGTATATGTGAATCGCTGTTTGGATTAGAGTTTAGGAGGTAATACAAATATGAGACGATTAATAATCAAGAAAGGAATAATCAGGAAAGGGAGAGGAATAAGTGTGTGTGTGCCAGAAGTGAGTTCTATATATTTGTTTACGGTCGCTGATTATAAAAGCATTTTCTTTTCATATGCTATCAAATGATGATGAGTTAACGTTCGTGAACACGTACGTACTCTGAACGAAAAAAGTTTAAAATATTTATTTTCATCTGAATCATTTTTCTAATCAAGTCGTGAATACGCAAGTATGTATGATGATGAACGAAAAAATAATCAAATGTGATGCACTTTAATTTGACACCATCTGTGATCATCGTTGTCGTCATCTTTGTCTGACATAATTGGTTTATTTATATTACTTATATTGTAATATCCAATAAGACCATATCGATAGACGCTGTGATAGTTTATTATGCTAGAAAAACAGTATTTCTGGTAATTTATAAATCACATCATAGTAATATGAAAGAATTCGTCGTACGTTTGTCCGATAGAATCCGTGGAAACATATTCGACCGACCCCCACGTGTACAGAAATGGTTAAGTTTTTACACAACATTTTCTATACCGAGTCTAGATCAAGTTCAACAATATAAAATCTAGATTTTCATGACTGTTAAAGTGTAATCGCAGATTCTTGCATAGGAAATTATTATTTATTTATTAGTCGAATCAACCACAATATCGTTAAACTTATTATCATCAAAAATAATAAAAATATTTGGTAAAAAAAATGTCTACAAATTTCCCGCCAGAAACACTCCAAGAAATATTCTGGAACCTCAAAGACGACGCATCCACACTACACTCTTGTCTACTAGTGAATCGTCTCTGGTGCGACAATGCTATCGTCGTGTTATGGTATAACCCATTCGAGCTGTGTCCGTCGGCGAAACTCTTGAATGCTTTGTTGCCGTTTATACACGGCCAACGGATTCTAGAAAATAAAAATGGAACGTTGAGATTATCGCCGAAACCATTGTACTATTATCCCGGGTTTCTGCGTGTGTTGTCGATTGGTGCTATTTATCAGACGGTGGCTGACTGGTCTTGGACATCGATACATTGGCGAAATTTACTTACTTTGGTTCATCGTGATGACGATACTGATAGTTATGAACCCACAAGTGGTATTAATAATAATAATGAGGATGAGACTATCACGGAAGAGGAAGTAAGGCAACTTCAACCACAACCACCATTACAACGCCCATGGAATATTTTTAGCATGTCAATAGAGATTTGTAATTTCTTTTTTCGAAAATCACGACGAATTGAGCGTCTTTCACTTTGGTGTACTGAACGGTCGTGCAATCAAAGATTCATGCCACATTTCCATTATAACGGTTTTCATCGTATAGAATGCGACAATCGACGTCTACCCTGGAAAAAATCACCGAATTGTCTTTCCGGCTTATCAGCATTCGAATGCTTTGGCCCATTCGATCATCAAAAACTTTTTGACGATGTCGCCCAAAACTGCAAGCACATTGAATCGATAAAAATCGCCGAAGATTGGAGTCAGACGCTTCGTGATTTCGATTTCCCGAATGAGGATAGACGCGAGGCGTTAAAGCGACTATTGGAAGACCAGAAAAATCTCAAGGAAGCCGATTTTGAGTTTATGGCTCGACGAATGACCCCGATTCTCGTCGGACTTGAGAGCCAAGCACGATCATTGACACGACTTGTGTTTCAGAGAATAAATTTTGGCGAGTCGTTCACGTTGGAGCCGATAAGTAAATGTACAAATTTGGAAGAATTGCGGTTTATTAACTGTTTTTGGGTGACCAAGGATGCATTGGCACCACTCACCCATGCTCAATTTTCGAAATTGAAAAAATTCGAGTTCTGCGAGGCACCACTTCAAGTTGCGCACCATGTTCCACCAATAAATGAACTATGCGCGATATTTCGAAACCTCGGCTCCAGTCTACAAGAACTAAAACTTGATTGCGGCCGAATACAATACGAAAGTCTATTTCAAAAAGTGGCCACCTTTAATCCAGACATCATCAGTCTACAACTAAACATTCCCTCGTCTAAAACCTCAGTTCTCATTGGTGTCCTAGACTACTGGCCGCTACTAAGCACCCTTATTGTCACTGTGGAAGATCTCTGTTTCTCCGATTTCTTTAACGCGGACCGGGGAACCGAGCTCAGTAAACGATTGTCGCGTAATATCGAGACGTTGCATGTTGAAGATTGGATTATTGGGGTAGAGGAGTTGGATATGTTTCTTGAAAAGTGCGGGGATAATTTGAAGAGCTTTAAGTTTCGGATTTCGGGTTTAAGGGAGCACTATCGTAAGATTATCAAGCGATATGCTGTGAAAAAAAGAGTTCGTCTAGAGCAACTCGAGTTCACGGATGGTTGGTTGTGTCGCGATTTCGCAGTTATTGTCTTTGACAGATAGAAACCTATTTTTGTTATCACATATATTCATATTCTTGGCAATCTCTTTCGGTAAAGAATACTATTATTTATGCATTTATTTAATCCTCCTTTAAAATAAAATATCACCCGAAAAGCATTTACATTAATGACGTTTATTAAAAAAAGTCAGCTCGATACAATAAAAATAATTATTTATCGGTAGATTCGATGCGAAAAATTCAATCTACTCGAAATGAAAACATTTATAATTCACATGAACCACCAACAGAGCAAGCTTCCGCCCGTTTATACCCCTCCTTCTTCAATTTCTCGACCACTTTCTCGACTTGCTGCTTCAAGCCTGGATCCGCATTTTTTGTCGACGACACTTGATAACAAGCCTGTAAGACATGTTCGAGCGGTGCGTGATCGCCCATGATTTTCTCCCGGTAATCGAATGCGACACCTTGATCACCTGGGTTTAGTATGAGAAGGCCGCCAAGAATTCGTCCTTCGCCTACCATGTTGCCGTCGCAGTTCTGGATAGCATCAATGCGTTCCCATGCGAGTTGATTGATTAGCATTCAGATTTGTGAGAGTTTGGAAAATTGATGAGTAGTAGAAATACATACAATTTCTTTTTTCTGACGGAGATAATTCTTCACTACTTTTGGTTTAAACATGCCAAATATCGACTCCCAACGTAAATCGCCATTTCTGTAGAAATTTGATTTACAGTCGATATTCAATCTAATACGGATAAAATCGAAAAAACTCTAAAAAATGAAGATTCAATATTCAAAAATACGCACCCAAGAGCACGATAGAATCCTTTACTCTCGTCCAGATAAATCGACCCCTTCCAGTAGTCCATATTGAAATCGCTCACTTGTTTTCCAACGGTCTCGTGTACGACTGCAATCATATTTATTCCCTTTTTAAGCAAAAAAATCATTATTTAATGAAGAATGCAAACAAATTAAAGCGCCGAATGGTTAAATTACAAGTTTATTCGTAATTAGTTCTCGATAGGTGGCTAACTTTACGGCTTCTTGGCGACATAGCCAGCATCCTGGTCTACGAACTAAAAATCATAAATGAAAAATAAGTTTCATGTCGAACAAACAAATAAGAATTAAATGTAAACGTGCAAAATTTTCTATGTTCGAAAAATCACCAACAAGCACTAAACATGGCGTCTTTTCCCACAATGAGCATGCTTTGATTTTTTTCGTGGCATCTGTATCATTATTGTTACTTCTCAGGTCTGTTAATTCGATCTCTCGTAACAAGTTGTATGAAGTCATGGGTGTAGGCAGTTCTGCGGAAAGTATTTTTGATTTATCGAGGTCGGATGCTATCTCTTTTTTAGACATTGTATCGGTATGTTATTAAAGACTCAAATTTTTATCGTTATGAATTATCCAGAGTATATCGATATATATGTATTTTTTATTAATATGATCATGACGAAGATGTGACGTAGGGTTGGCAGTAAAAGTCTCGTGCAGGAATTTGTAATTGTGCAGCCAAGAAAAGCTTAGCGTTAGCGTTAATTGCTTCTTTTGGTAGTCACATGACACGCTTTCGATCACAGAAGGTAAAATCACATGTGAATATGGATCCTATTTTTCCATATCGATATTATGTTGTTCGTATTTACAGTAGCTCACACATGTAACCGAACACGAAAATTAACTTTCTATATAGCATTTTTATTTCCATGACTAATAGTTTGGACAAAATAAAAAAAGTGTTCATTTGAAACCCTGAAACCTCTAATA